CGGTGGTTCTCGGTCTTGTCGCCCGGCACGTCGTTGCCCTGGAGAATGGCGGGAAGGCCGGCCACGTTCATGGCCATCACGTTGACGGTGCCAGACGTCTGAGCTACCGCGAGGGCGGCACCGGCGGCGACGGCCAGGGCCGGGGAGAGAGCGACGTTTCGTCTCATCTTGACAAGCTCAAGGGCAGAGAAGGGAGGGCTCGGGTGGGATGAGGGCGTGCGACGGTGACGGGACGAAACGGCGGGGGCTGTTGCGACTGGCTCACGACGACATCAGACGGTCATGCTCATGGGAGACAGCGATGTCTCCTTCTTTAAAGGGATCGCAGACTCTCTTCTTCCCCTCACTCGGCATTCGCGTTCAACAAAATCGACTGCCGCCTCAACCCCGCCCGCATCGACAATCGCAAGGCTATTGGCAATAAGCGAGCAACCGGGGGGGTCTGCTCATCTCACGGGTTGCAGTGAAAACGGCCTTGGATCCCCGATCGGTCGCGGGTTCCGGCGCTCTTCTCGGCCGCTGCGACGTGGGCCGGGGCAGCGATGCAATCACGTCGAGGCATCGGCGCGCGTGGTCTCTGGAGTCTGCAGGCGGCCCGGAGCGGCAGCTGCGAAGGTACGTCTTCACGTGTGAGGGGAAGGAAGGGATCCCTGGACGAAGAGGCGCTGGTCGTCACGATGGCTTCACGTGAGGGATGGAGTGGCTGAGAGAGAGGGAGGGGCTGGGACACGGGGTGCGAGACCCTGACGCGGCATCTGCCGCCAGGATATCTCGGCATCATCACCGAAGAGCCCACGCACGACTGGGTCCTCATTACAGAGTACGAGGTGTTTGGGCTCGAGGTGAGCGAATACTGACTCTGTCAACTTGACAAACAACACCAGGCCCTCGACCCTCGTCACTCGCGGGGCACACCGTCCCTTCTTATCGCCATGCGAGTGACATCTGGTTTCACGGGCCACTCGTCCCGAGAGCGACGGGTTCATGCGTTGTCACTTGCGGGATGGATGTTTGTTGTGTTCGCCGGACAATAGGGACGGGCAGGGGAGGCACTGGGCAGAAGAAAGAAGAGACTCAGGGTCCGGGAGGGGAGCTGCCGACGTCGCGGGAGGGGATGAAACTCATGCCGCCCCGCGCGGATGGGATGGTTAATGGCCGACGAGACTGGTGATGGTGGTTTCCGGCTGGGCAGCGTTTCGCATGTGCCCTGGACAGCCCTGGAGGTCGTCATTACAGAGGTAAGGCCGTACTGTGTGGAAGCTCACGATAGCGGCGAGCTGCTAAAGCACCAGGTCCTCGAGGCCCATGCGACGAGCAGCAGCTGTCAGACGGGTGGGAGGACCACGGAAAGGTCGCTGATCTGCTACGCCACCAGGCCCGATCGACGACCGGTCCTTTCAGGGTCCCCCTCTTTCCAACGAGGCCCTCGCTGCGGTTCAGGGATACACCACGTCCCTCTTATCGGGGCGAGGGGGGAAGGGTGGTGAACAAGGTCATCCCCTCGAGAGTCGCGGACGGTCCCCCTCCAGCCCTGGGGTGGCCGTGCAAGGTAGTACGTTCGCGCGGGGCAGACTGACAGAGAGAGGGGAAGATGAGGGACAAAGAGACGACATGGAAGGACGTGGCGGGTGTTGGCCTGTTGCAGAGGCGGCGCCTCGTCCGCGTCGAGGAGAGACGGCGTGGATGGGAGGAGGCATATGGGATGGAATGTCGGGAGCTCGGAATCAGGAGGCGCCTTGGCTTCGGAATGGTCTCGGGCGCGGTCCACGCGAGGGGAGCGTGGAATGTTCGCTGCAAAGGGTACGGGAAACAGACGAGACAGCTAGGCAGGTGATCTGGTTCAGGCTTTCGTCTGCCCGTCTTCCATATGGCCGCCCCGCGTCACCACCGTCGTCGTCGCTGCTACAGTCTGTCCGAATCATCAAGCCGTCCGCAATGCACTGTATCTACATATCTATCTTCGTCTTTGGCCCTCCAAGTCTCAACTCCGGGCCCTCCGAGGCATGAGTGACGTTCAGGTAGATCGTCCAGTCTCTCGCTCTCCTTCACTCCCAGCCAGGCCTGCCCTGCCCTGTTCTGCCCAGCGCGCGCGCACTGACACGCCTCCTCGTCCCAAAACCCTCCAGCGCTGTGCTCGCGCCCCCTCTTCCCACGAGGACCCCGGGCCCCCGTCCCTGTCCGTGCCAGAACTGTCAAAGAACCCCCAAAGTCCCTTGCCAATATCGCGCCGCCAGCACGCCCAGCGCTTGTCACCTAATATTGGCAGGGGGAGCCACAGGGGATAGTCGCCCGCCCGCCTGTCTTTTCGTCCCACGTCAATGCGTTGAGCCCGCCGAGTCGCCCGCGCCGCCACCCTCGAGAATGGGGGGACAGCCGCGCTTGTTTGCGACTCGAGCAACAGGTGATCGGCCAAACGTGCTGCTCGGCCCCTCCTAACGACGTGCGGCTGGACAGAGAATATGCATCTGTCGAGGCATCCCACGCTCGGATGAGGCGTGGGAGGAAGCTATCGTGAGGGTGTTCCTAACGTGAGCCACGCTTTGACCGCGACACCCCTGACTTGTCGGCACTTGTCGCTGGCCCTCTGCGACGGACACTCGTGCAGGTGCTGAAGGCTCATGAGGACCGAGCAGCTTTGCCATGACTCTTCCCGATGGACCTGGCTCAGCTTCCAGCGGGATTCTGCCAGATATAGGACCACTTCCGATGCTGCCATCCGCTCGAGGATACAGACGGATCTTGGTACCCCTCGTATCTTCAGCATCTCTCCCAGATTTCCAGATATCGGCAACGGACCACGCAGCCAGAAAGCCCCGACGACTGTCCCCCTCCCCTGCCCCCCTGGCTTCATCATCTCTCTGGCCCCCGGCCATTGCCCCCCGCCCATGACGGTATTGCGATCGGCTTGCAACGTCCTCTAAGCAGCCCTAGGGCGACAAGCCCCCCTCGACTGCTCTCTTTCGAGGAGACCAGCTCGCATTCCCCCAGCCCATGTCAACGGACCTGACTCCGCCCTTCCTCAGAGGGCTCGCTGACGTGCCGATCAGCGGGCTCGCTGCGACCTCGGCGACCTCGAGTGGGTATTGCTGCCCGATGACAGCTCGTGGGGTCCCCGGGGACGGAGCACATCATCAACGGCAGAGGCCCTGCAAGCCCTGTTAGCTCAGGGATTGATGCCAAAAGTCCTCGTATCGAAACATGCCCTGTCGCGATCGGCGCAGCTGGACGCGGGAGGCCTTGTTCCAGCCCGCCGCCCCAAGACAAGACAGGACAAGGCGAAGACAAGAATGTGATATCGGCGCACAAGGGCCTATACCCCCCCAAGGTCATGGGTCTCGGGCGGTGAAGGAAACAGAACGCGACGTCGGCTTCCTTCCCACGCGTTGGCGTCGTTTCTCCCCGTCGTTCGCCTCGTCGTCACCTGACGAGCCTCGACGCGACTGGTCGCCGGGATGGTTACATCCGAGGTGTTTCTCATGCAGACGTGGAGTTACGCCAGCGTTACACCGTCGCGGCGACAGAGAAGGGGGGATTCCTCTCAGGCAATGAACGTGATGGCCTTATGCGCCGCGTGATCGACGAACCTGGTCTGTCATGGCCTAGTTGATTGTCACCATCGCCGCCGCCAGACACGGGGAGATGGTGGCTCTGGCCCTCGCTAACACCTCCCGAGGCAGGGATCGAGGGGTCGGAGGAAACGCTCCTGGTATAGTGGTATCGTTATGGCCGTTCGCCTGTGGCATCAAACATTGCTACATATTGTGCATGAATTGATTGTCATGAGAGAACGTAACCTTGGGTCCTAGGGTGATGGGCGGTTCTGGGGCGAACGCCCGTCATGAGTAGACGGCTGTGTCGTGGCGACAGGTGACATGACATGTTCTAGTACTTTCCAAAACCTGTCAGGCAAACTCTGTGGTATAAGTGGCAAAGTCCTGCAACATGTATGTGGAGAAATAATCAGCAGACTGTGCGGTCATGATTCTAGATGTGTGTATAAGGGATGACCAAGCCGCTTGACGACTAGAGTCGTTTTATAGACTGTCAGACTGAGCGTTTGAAAGTGTTACATCGGAAGATGGAGTTTGCATTCTGAGAAGAGTGTTCTGTGAAGTCTCTGATATGGATTGTCGAGCCAAGTGAAAAGTGCGCAACCTTGTAGGGTTGTCTTAGGGAGGGAGAAATAGTCGCTCAAGTCACCAAACGTTAAGAAGAAAAATGGAAACACATTGATGAGGCCCAAATCTCGACCTTGCGATTCTCGGAATGCCTTAGATACATGAGAAGCCTCCGTCTTCGATGGCGTGGACACACACATCACCCCACCTACCATTTGTACCATTCAGCACGACCTTCGAGCTTGCTTCACGCCAACAATGTACTGAAAGTGAAATTCAAGTCATGTACTCAGTTGAGTACATTTAATGGAACAGAACCTGTTGAACCTGTCTGGTGGGTTTTGCAGCGAAAAAATCGGGGCGTCATATGCTCATTTTTCTGTATGGCGAACATCAACCAGCTCGGATCGTCTAGTTGGTTAGGATGATGCATTGTGGTTCTTACTACAATACTGCATTGACGGCAGTTCGAATCCGCCTCCGAGCAATCTTTTTGGTTTTGTGACAACAGGCTTTGGGAAAGGATTTGATCTTGGATCCGCTTTGATGGAGATGGCAAAAGATGACTCACAAATACTCACCCACCGCTTCTCAGGCACCTCCCGAGTACCTGGAGCAGGTCAAACAAGTCTCTAGGCATTATTGAGTTGCATCTGCCGTGTAAGAAGTTAGCAATGGCAAAATGATACCACGACGCCACAACCCGACATCACTTTGCCATCAAAGAGAGTTTGCTTATCGTTTTAATAGGAAAACCCAGAGATGTAACCGGTCTTCCGCAACCTTTCATGTTTTCCGCCTGCCATCTATTCCCTTGTAATCTTTCTCAATGTTCTGTCACTGAGCGATGAGTCTGGCGAATACCTTCTGGTCTCACCAACAGGCGAGATGGCCGAGCGGTCTAAGGCGCTAGTTTCAGGAGGTCGATTCTTCGGAATCAACAGTCAAATTACTAGTCAGAAATGGCATGGGTTCGAATCCCATTCTCGTCAGTCTTCACTTTTGCTCTCAAGTCTTGCAACTCAGTTGGTCATGTTTTTGGCTGCCGAAGTGTCTGCTGAGCAGTCTAAGTGAGGTGGTAATGCTAATCGCCATTCTATCAAACAAATGCTCGCTCGCCATGTAGAAAATCTTGTTCGCCGTCCCATGCTGAAGACAATGCTCGCCTGATATGCTGAAAAGCCACGCTCGCTATCCATGCCGAAAATAATGCTTGCTCCCCAGACCAAAACACCGAAATGCAAAAGTAAAGACGCAAGCCCACCGAAAAAACCATCTCATCCACTCAACTCCTCAAAGGCTCATATCGAAGGCCTCCTCGGCATGAGGCTCCATGTCGTAGAGCTCCTTGGGCACATGAATCTCAGGGACCTGCGAGACAGTGACGTCGGGCATGGAGGCAGAGCGCCGGGCAGTGCTCCTACGGCGCCTGCTGATAGGGACGGAGACCATCTTGGAGCTAGGAACCTTGGCGTTGCAGCGAGGCAGCATGAAGTCGGAGTAGATGACGTTCATCATGCGGAGCTGGCTGCTCAGCTGGTCGGGGCTCTGGGGCAGCTGCGACAGACCGCCAGGGACGAGGAGGTCAAAAGACTTGACAACGGCAGCCTCGGCAAAGGCCTCGATGTAGTTGGTGGTGGCATAGTCGGTGGCGACGTGGCCGTCCTCGAGGAAGCGGTCCCTCCAGACAGACTGGTCGGTCCAGTACTCGGAGCCGCCGGTCGAACCGGTGCCAAGCTTGATCAGGTCCAAGGCGTGGGCCATCTCGTGAATGAGGAGGCTGGGCGACTCCCAGTAGTTGTTCTGGACGACGATGGTTGGACCGGACTGCCATGCGGCAAGGCCCTCCTTGACCTCTGGGATGGCGAGGAAGTTGCCGACCCATTGGCGCATGCGGCCGGTAAGAGTAGCGAGGCCCTGGAAGTTGATGTCAGCGGGGAAAGTTAAACAAGAAGGATGGCGGAAAGGGGATTTACGGTAAAAATCAACTCAGGCGAAGCCGGGGTGTTCTTGTGGCGGCATACGATGAAAGGCTCAGGGCAGTCCGCAAATGTGACACTGTAGACGTCGATGTCCTTGCCCTCAATGCTGTCTAAATAGGGGCCGTTGAAGCAAGACTCTGGGACCCATCCAGGCTCCAGGAGCTCAGCTTTGTAAGTAGTAGGCTTCATGACCTCCTTGAGCTGAGAGTTGATGGCACCCCATGTGTCGTACGGAGGCTGGACAACAGTGAAGTTGAGCTTATCGGCCAGGGTGAGGCCGAAAAAGGCGGAGATGAGAGAAGCTCGGCTGAAAAACATAGTTGCTAGGGTGAGGATGTGGTAAATGTGGCCGAGATATGAACGCGATGAGAGGGTGGTGTGAGAAGGTGGCGAGAGGAGATGATTGGGTGATGAGCTGCTTGATGACGAAAGAGTTGATGATCGGCGACTTCATCGCGAGTTTATATCGTCTTCACATTGTCTTGAAGGGATTGCTGACAGTGTTGTCTGGTTATTTTCGTTGCACAGTTGTGATGCGCAGGCGGTGCTGAGTGGGCTGTGGAACCGGAGGCTCAGGGGTGTCAGGGGTCATCGATGTCAGCCGTCAGCATCACCCAGGCGGTGACTTTGGAATCAGCAGGGGTCGGAGAGAAGCCACGGGGTCCTTCGGGCAAAAGAATCTTGGCACTAAGTGTGTTTGCTGCGGCGGGATGGCGGCTCATACCAGCATGCACGAGTTGGACACAGCGTTCTGACCGTCTGCCTCTGGGTCAATGCCAGGATGGTAATTAATTACACGGACAACTCAGTATGTTTGAAAAAATACGACTCATGGTAAAGGTAGAAAAAGTCTAAGGAAAGATTTTACAACCAGTTGTTTATTTGGGGTGGTCATCACTGCACGTGGTAATTGCGCAGCATCATCCGTCCAAGCTGACCACGAGTTCGAGCCCAGCATACACCGCCAACGCAGCGGCTAACATAAATGTACCCATTAGGCATTCTAACAGCTGGAGTGATGAAGTCGGTGCAAGACGCAATTGCTCTCCGGCATGCTCTCCGGCAAGCTCCGGCTATGATTCTTAGGAGCGGGGGAAGTTGATGTGAGATGGGAAAAGATGCCTGACAGCGGCCACACCCTCAATCGACAGAAAATACCCCCTCCTAACGGTTCTAATCACACACGATATCAATGCAACTAACATGCAGCAGACTGCACTCTATTCCACGGCTCTGGTGGCCCAGACTTCACGAATAGGCGGGCAGTTACGTTTGCTGTGGACCAATATGATCACATGCACAAGCCTTAGTCTCTCATCAAAGGCCGCCTGGCTCAATTGGCAGAGTATCTGACTACGATCAGTAGTTTCATCAGGAGGTTGCAGGTTCGAGCCCTGCGGTGGTCATTGATTTCATTTTTGGGTGTTCTGAAGGGGGCGTGGAGAATTTTTGCATCGGAAAAAAAATCAACGGGTCGGTAGCCCGGAGACAGCTTGAGCGGCGAGCTCCTGCGATCCCCGGCTAAGCGCCGGCCGGCGGCCGCCGTTGCTGAGGCTGTGCTCCGGTGGGCTCAGGGGCCGTGACCAAACAGAGAGTTTCCCCGGAGCTCGGCATCATCTTCTACTGCAGCCCTATGGCGGCCTGCAGGGCAGGGGTGCGGAAATAGGCACAGCTTCGCCTGCTCAGAGGATCCGAGAGATGAGCTGGTCGTGGCTTATTTTGAGCCTCTCACCGCAAGGCCTGGGCATCCTGGCCGTGAGGTCAGGGTGCGAGGGTCTCATGCCTATGAAATGGTCTGCAAATGTAGCGGATGGCCAGCACGGCCACAGTAAACAACTCGTGGCATGGATCAAGTTGCAAAGCTGAATGCTATTGCTGGATTGTAGGAGTCGCCGAGCACGCCAGCCACCTCGAGCTCCATGTGACCGCATGGCGTCATTGTGCGACTTCCGCCATCCGCATGTGGTCTTGTCTTATAGCCATACTTGCCAAGGAACTCAATTTCATGGCCACTATCGCTCGTACCAGCAGTCATGACGTGTTCCTACTTGCTTCAAAGTCCCTAGATGGGCATGGGGAGCGAAGACCTGGGCCTAGAACACCAACTGCACGGCCCTGGCACCGGCTCCCGGGCAGTTTTCCTTCATCGTCAAGTCTTATCCAAGACGGCCCAACCGCTGCCGACAAAACCATGCACTCGCCTGAATCGCCAGCGGCCGCGACACAAAGGTTAAGTCTGTGACCCGGCTCTCCTGAGAAACAAGCCGGCCTCGACGTCTGATGTCCCCGGTGCCGCTACACCCGAAAAATTCAACCCTGACCCAGAAAGACTGCCCGGGTCCCGGCGGCACGGCACCAGCGCTTGGATCTTAGCCGCTCAGCTCGTTCCTCCACAACTTGGGGAAGGGGGTCTAGGATCGGTTGGTCGGCATTTTGGAGTCGTCGTTCGCAGTGAATGAAACGCGGTGAAACTTGGCGTACGTACGCGGCCGCCAGGGGCTCGGGACGCGTGCACATTCGATGAACGACTTATCAGGGTCCGTCTGGGCATCGAAGCCCACGGGGAAGGCTCTATCGACTCGATCTTCTCAGATTGAGAACATGCTGTGTCACGACAAACTACCGCAGATTGTTCTGCTGGCGGTGATTCTCTTGATCGTCTGGAGCGTTCGCCTGCTCGACATCTTCAACCTTCCGGACACAATCGCCGCCCTCTTCAAAGAGCAGACGGGGCAAACTTCGGACGAGGCATTCATCAGAACGGCGGCAGCAGTGGAGTTCCCTTCGCCAATCGACTTCAACCCCCTCCGAGATGTCTGCACCAAGACCCAGTTCCAGCCAGGGCTGCTGTTCAGCTGCGAAGGTCAACACGGGGGCATCTGCATGGTGCGAAACCAGATCCTCAAATGCGTCCGCTATGCCATTCACGCAGGCGCAGCAATTGTCGTTCCATCCATGGCCCTGCGGAACGCGAAAGACATCACAGACATTGAAACCTCAACCGAGGTGCCCTTGGACTACTTGCTGGACCGAGACGCTTTTGTGACGCGTCTCTCCTTAGGGTGCCCAGGCATGCATGTTTACAATACGCCAGAAGAATTTCCATCATATCAGAATCGGTCAGGGGAGCCTCTGCAGCTCCTCGGGAACCAGTTCGAACCAGACCACCCACGCGAGGGACTGGTGTATCCGGAGCGGTGGCGGGCCTTTTTCGACGACTGGCTTGCAAAACAGCACGCGCATCCACACCCAGAATCCCCGGTACACGTCCAGATCGGCCAGTCCTTCCTCGAATACCCAGTCCAACGCGACGGAGCTGCTTTTGTGCGCGAGTTTGGCAAGATCCTGTCCTTCAGAAAAGACACGCGCGAGCTTGCGGCCAAAGTTCTCCTCGCCCTCAAGAAGCAGTTCAGACTACCCATCGACCCATCACAGGCTGTCAACCCTGGAGCGTTCTACGGCGCCCACCTGCGTCTCGAGAAGGACGCCATCGCGGCTTGGGAGCCAGAGCACTGGCGCTTCTCCCGGAAGGAGGACCAGTTCTGGGAGCAGACGCGCAACCTCGAGCGAACGGGTCTCGGTGTCGTCTACGTCGCTTCGGGAGACCAGGAGGTGGTCGAGGAGTTTGGAGAGTATCTCGATACGAGCTCGGGTGCTCGAGAGGCATCAGTGCCGGTAGTGACGAAGTATGACCTACTTCAGGGGGCGGACAGACGGCAGCTGGAGGCGCTGGCCTTCGATCAGCAGGCTTTGGTGGACTTTCTGGTCATGTTCAAGGCGAGTGCTTTCATGGGCGTGGCGCACTCGAGCTTCCCGTGGACAGTGGCTTTGAGGAGGCATGAGTTGAGTCATTATGAGGGGTATGCGAACGAGGGGTCGGATATCTTGAGGGATGAGTTCAGTGTGATAATGGGGAAGGAAGCGGACTACCCGTACATAGATCCTTTCGTGAGTGGCATCTGGCCATGATGAGGAGTCAGAGTCAGTGTAGATTAATGTGATTATTTGAT